GTTTGCTCACAACTCCCTACCCTCGCCCCGTCTGAGGCTCGGACGCCCACCCACCTGGGCTCGGGCACGTAGGCAGGCTCGTGACGTTCCCAGGGCGCATGCGCTGGGCGCAGAACACGTGCCAGGCCGCTGCACCGCGCAGGCGCCATTGCGCGCCTGCCTTGAGGGCCTGGAGGAGGGTGGGAGGGGTGCTCTCCGCCTCCCGCAACCGTTGGCGACCTGGGAGAAGGCAGGCGCCCGGATGGGACTGAGCGTTGGACACCCCCATAGCCTCCGGAGAGAGATGGCCGAGGGCCGGGTCCTGGACGTGTTCTCTGCGCCGGGTGAGAGTTTGCAGCCAGTCCCCGGGCTTGTGCTGTGTTATGGTAACTGATGATTTAGCGTAAGGAACTCAAAACTCTTCCTTCTGACAATTAGGGGTTCTCCTCGCAGCGCCCCCAAACCCGGCTAGTGCCGGACTGGCTTAAATGGTGGGGAACTGGGTAGGGGAGTGAGAACCCAGAGCTTAAACAGAGTAAGAAGTGGGGAAGAAAGGACCATAAATTCAAAGTTGTGGATTAGAGCTGCCCACTGCTTCCCGAGAACTGCAGTTGCTCGGGCAGGAAGTGGCCCCAGAGAGTCCCGTGGAAGCATCTCAGCAGAGTCCAGAGGGGACAAGAAAGGAGGGATGTGTCTATCAGACCCTTCCCCTGTCCCTGGTCCAGGTTGGCCTCAGTGGCATGGGCTCCCCTATCTCCAGGCCCTTGGCTGGAAGCTGCTGAGAAAGCCCGAGCCCCAGGAAGTAGCAGGGGCAACCTGCTTTGCGGACCGAAGGCGGCTGGATCGAAGACCTGCCCTCCTCACCTCGGAGGCCAAAAGGCCATAGGGTAACACCCCACGAGGGCCAATGAGTAGGCCGTGGAAGGCCTACAGGCAGCAGGTGGGGCCAGTGAATCTTGTAAGCAAAGATAAGGGGTCAGGGCAGCAAGGGCTTTGGGGCCCCATTCCAACCGTCTATATGGGCCTCTGGATAAATTTCTGGTGGAGAACTACGACTTAGTAAGCCAGAAAATCTCTACTGTCATCCAACGCCTTTATTTTAGAGGAGGAAAAGGGGACCCAGGATGGGCAGTGATTTGTCTGAAGCCTTGTGAGCTGAAAGAAGGAAATTTCTGCAGGATCCACCAGGGGTCCTAGTTGGGCCTGGCACATTCCAAGTTACTGCCATGAAAACTGCCAGACTGAAAAACAGGCTTGGCAACATTTGGGCTCATTCCTGAGTGGGATTGTCCCTCGCCAGGCCCTTCCTCTGTCCAGTCTGTGTCTTGCTCACTATGGAGAGGGTGCCCCCAGCAGTGCTGAGGACAGTTGGAGGCCTCAAACATGGCAGCAGAGAACGCATGTTCTTTTGTAGCTCTGCCTCCCGTGGACAAGCTGGCTGTCCACCTGCTCAGGAACCAAGAGCAATGTGGCCGTTCCAAAGGAAGCCTCAGAGGTTCCATCTCCAGCAAAGGGCAGAATCCTCCAGTGGAATTTTGAGGATGTTTCAGGTATCTAAGCAACTGCCAGCGGGTCCCTTACAGCCTGGCCCAGATGCAGGACAGCCTTACATCGGGGACGAGTAGCCAGTGGAGGCACGGCCTGCTCAGACCAAATCTTGTGTTCTGTGTAAAAGGGAAAGAAGTTTGAGCTCTATCAGTCTTAACACGGATTGGTCTGTAGAGCTGTGGATGCTTGCCCAGTGCTGCTTGAACCACGGGTCTAAAAGACAGTCATGTCTTTCAAGGGGAACTAGACCCAACAAGAGGAACCAAAAAGCAGTGCCACTCACAGGAGGAACCAGAGAAGTTTCTCTCAGCCTATTAACCTATGCCTTCCTTTGGTAAACAATGTCAAACCCTTGTCCTGACCTAGTAATACAGTATTGATGTGGGGTTTGTAATGCTAAATCCATGGGACACTTAGGGGCTGAGGGGTGATAATAAGGTGAACATTTCCCTGAGGACTTGCCCCTTGTTTTTCATCTGATTTACAAAGTCCCTACCCCAAGACTCAGAACTACAGCTGTGTCCCAGAGAGAAACACAACCGGCCAACAAAGATGTTCAATCTCACGTAAATTAATTCAAACCAACTCAAAAATCCATCACTTTTCACCTTTCAGATTAGTAAACAGTTCAGATGGAAGAGACTACAGACAGGCAAGTGGGAGTGGGGGGCAAGGAATATACTGTTGGTGGGAGTTGAAATTGGGAAGTCTTTTCTGGAATGTATCTTAGAATTTTTAATGCATCCACCATCTAACAGCCATTTCTCTCTTTGGATCTTAACCCTGTATAAACCCTGATCTGAGTTAACGATTAAGTACACATGTATACACACACACACACTCATCACAGCACTTTTCATAAACATGAAAAACCAAAATCTCTATAAATGGGACCACTAAATGACAGTACATCCAAGACGATGAAATGCTATGTGGTTGTTCAGAAGAATAAAGTAGATCCATGTGAGCTCTTCAGAAACAAGTCCCAAGATTTACTAAGTGAGAAACAGGCAGAAACAGAACAGTAAATGTGTAGTTGTGTGCTCAGGACGGATACTCTTTCCAGGGAAAGTGAGCATTGGGGGGCAGGGGGGTGGGGAGGAGGGAGCCTTGCTTTTCATGGTCCAGCCTTTCGTACTGTTTGAATTTTTACCATATGCGTGTGTCACTTGAAAAAAAAAAAAAAAAGAAAACAGGAAAGTCCCCATCCCTCCTACTCCTTAAAAACAAGGGTCGCTGCACTCATTCACCTTCTTGCCGCCTTGAACTCAGGACCTTCCTGCCACAGCCCCGCCAGACCATCTTCTTCTCCCAAGTTTTAGACAATTCCAAGCAGGTTAGTTATCCAGGACAAGGAAGGGGGAGGAACCCCTGCATCTTATCTTCCCACCCAGAATGGAAGGAGCTCTGCCTGGAAGCAGGCTGCATTCAGCACAGCTGTGGTTGGATTTAAACAGCAAAGTAGGAACGCCCAGAAGTTGAAGCTAAAATGTTTAAGAAATTCAGTATTTCAGTTTCTATGGGTGTCCAGGAGAATGAAGACATAAGACAAGGTGGTGGAGATGAGGAAGAATCTGAAGACAGTTTAAAGCCACAGTGGTGGAAAGAATGAAGAGGAGGAAGGTGCTGGATTTTACTAAGAGAAGAAAACAGACTGAGTTCAGGAGTCTCACCAGTAAACGTTTATAGTATTGCATTTTGATTACAGGTATGTAAATAAAAAACTTGAGTATTACCCTCTGGTAAAAATGCAGAACCAGCTTGCACTTAGATTAAAACAGCAGGTTTGGGGACAAAAATGGACCATATGCTGCCTGTGATGGAAGAGAGCGAGCTGGACAGGAGAGGAACCGCCAGCTCAAGAAGCCCTAAGACTCTTAGCGAATCTTCAGAGGAAGAGGTCAGGGCCTCTCTGAGTGGTACTTCCCCAAAAGAGCCCTTGCCCAGGGATGTGGTTTGGAGAAGTCCCAAACCCACAAGTCACAGGTGCTTCTGGCCACGTGCACAAGTGGGTAAAGACCTCCGATTCCCATGGGGCCTGCCTCCCTCACCAGCGCTTCCCAGCCTACTGGAGTCTTCACAGGGCAGCACGTGGCCACTGCTGACCAGAGGTGGGTAGATGCTGGAAACACACCGAGAGGTCTGAATCGCAGACCAGTGGCACAAAAACCATAGTTCCTGTGCCTTCAGAAAACCCAAAGTCCCCAAATAAAGGGGGAAGAAGAGAGCTGGGAGAAATCAAACCAGAATTTTTCCAATGGCCATTAAAGAGAAAATTCAGCAACTCTTGCCTTTGTCTTTGACCCTGAGAAGTTGAGGGACACAGCTGTATGAGGCTGTGACCAGGTGGGAAGGAAGACATGGTGTGCTTCCTGCAGAGCCACCTCTGGAGTCCCTGTGGCTCAGTGACCCCCTCCTCCCATCTGCCCCAAAGCAGGGACTTCGACTGGGCCTGGTGGGGCCGGACAGGGGGGACGCAGTAAGAGAAAAAGCAGCACCAGGCTCTCCAGATGGCCGGGACCATTGAGGAAGGTGCGCTCCCTAGGACCCTGCCACACCCACAGACGAGGCCGCCACCAACCAGCACAGGGGCTCCTTCACACACATGGTCCTTTCCTAAAAGGAATCCTTTGGAATTCAAACATTCAGTGTGTTACCCAGGTCAGCAGTCTGACCAGAGTCGGATCTGTCCATGCCACAACCTGGACTCAAGTTTTTGAGGCAGGAAACCTCACTGTCCACTGTTAGTTCTCCAGCAGGGAGAACTTAGGTGGTGGATGGGGAAGTTGAACAGGAGGATCTTTCTTCCCCAAGCTGTCTGGACGGTGCCACAGCCATGACCGACCACTTGGGCCACCACTCACATCCCCAACCTGAAGCAGGAGCCATGAGACACGGAGCTGCTCAGCGCTGAGCCTCCTCCTGACCGTGGCCCTGTGGGGATCCCCTGGATTGGAGCTCCTGGGGGAGCACCAGCCTGGGGGGCCCTGCCCCTCCCCGAGCCCTGCCCCTGGAGCCTCCCCAACTTCCAAAGAGCACTGGATTCACCACATCTTGAGGAGCCAAGAGAAGCAGCTCAGACTTGGCATCCTGCTTCTGTTCTCTGCCCAAGAGTCACCAAAAAAAATGTATGGTCTCACAGCAGGCACAGCATCTTGTTTCTTTTAAAAAATAAATATTTATAAACGTAGGGAGGAAGATTCAAAGAATCAGAGTCTCTTTCC